CTTCGCGCCTGCGGGCGCCATCTCCAGGGCCCGGGTCCGGCCTCGGCGCCCGGAAGTCACCCGGGCCCACCTGCCCGCTCACCCTCAGGTGTCCGATCTGGGGGGTAGGCAGCCGAGTCGCGGGGTTTGGGCGGGCCCCGGGGCCACAGGAGCTGCCAGGCCCCCATGCGTCCTCCGGGTGCCGTGCAGTGTGCCAGCCGGAACGGACACCGCTGCCCCGCCGGTCAGCAGGAGATGCCCCCGGGGTCCCCTGCACGGCTGGCTGGTGGCATCGCCCGAGGGCGTGGGCTGTGCTGGCTTCGGGCCTCCCCGCCCATCGCAGCATGTTGGGGGCTTGTGACCCCCCCGCCCCGTCGCCAGTGTCGTGGGAGGGACCTGGCACCAGCACCCGACTTCCGGCCCTGTTGGTTTCCTCGGGCGGACCCAGAGGCAGCCTCCCCAGGGCCGCCCTACCTGGGCAGCCGGGGAAGACCCCTGCGGGGGCCCAGAGGCCGCACTGGCGTGGCTGTGGCTTCTGGGGCCAGAGCCTGTGGCCAGTGCGGCTGAGAAGCCCGGTAGCAGCGTGGACTGTGGGAGCAAGCAGTCCCATGGGGTGTCTGGGGGCGCCCCCGCCCCGCCAGCACGTGGCGGCTGGACCCTGGCCTGACAAGCCGATGGGCGTCTTGCGGGCTTGCGGGGGCCGCGCCCGACACCCTCGCAGCCGAGGCCCTCTGAGGGTGGCCTGTCCTTTGACAGCGGGAGGGGAGCAAGCCCCAGGGTCTGGCCAGCAGCCCTGGGGCGGGGCGCCCCTCGTGCGCTGCAGGTCTTCAGCCCGGCCTTGTCCCAGCGCACAGCGGCATGCACCCAGGGGCCCGGGCTCCCACGGTGCGCAGGTGGCCTGGACCGGCGTCCCGGGCAGAGCTGCTGAGGGGTCCCTGGCCTGCGTTCCTGCCCGGGAGGAGCAGGGTCCCGGTGGGAGTCTGGGTGCTGCCCGCAGGCCTGATGAGTCCCTGGGAACTGCCTGAGGGCTGTTCTGCCCAGCATTGGCCGGCCCGCTGACCACGGGGGCAGAGGCAGGCCCCGAGTTTCAAGGGAGCCCCCAACCTGGAAACGGGGTGGCAGCCCCTGAGCCCTGGGGACCGGGCCAGGCCCACCCACCAAACTCCCTGACAATTGGCCAAAACGGGACGGGTGCCCCACCGCTGACCGTCCTTGCTTTGACCCGGGCACCAGCGCGCTCCGTGCCTGGTGCATCTGCAGGCACTCGGTGCCTGCCCCACCACCCACGCTCGCCCGTCTACAGCCGCCCTCTGCCAGCGGCCAGGCCGTGCTGGGGGCCGCGGCACAGCCGTTTCCCCTCGGGGCTGCTCCCTACGCGGAGTCCTCGCCCTGTGCCTGGGTGGGGAGCAGCGGGAGGGCCAGGGAGGGCCATCTGGTCCTCGGGACTTCGCTGCCCCACAGCCTTGTCACCAGACCCCTCCCCTGGTGGGCGGTGGGTGAGCCCTGCCACTTGCCTTGGGGCATCCTCGGCTGTGGCGGCCCTGGGTGTGGGCGAGTGCCCCCCTCGGGCAGGGCCCCCCCTTCCCAAGGGCCCCTCCCGGCTGAGCCTCAGCCCCTCCTGGCATATTCCTTCCCCTGCCCCAAACCTGCTGTCCCCCAGCTGCCTCGGAGGTGGCTCAGCCACTCACCCCACCAGCACGGGGCTTCCTTCCCACAAGTCTTGGGCCTCCCCTTTGCCAACGCGGGGCAGGGGCAAGCCTGGTGGGCACCCTGTCCACGGCCCCGGGCCCGTCCAGACCTGCAGACCGGGAAGCGAGGGCCAGCGGCTGAGAGGACATGCTGGCTGGGGGCAACTGCCTCAGTGCCCGCGGTGAGCTGGCGGCCACCCGTGCTGGACAGGTTGGGGCCCTGCTGGCCAGTGTTCCCAAGGGCCAGCCTGCCCGCCTCAGACCCCACGGCCTGCTGACCTGCCCCCCTCAGCCACTCCAGGCCTTGCCGGCGCCCGCAGAGCGCCGCTGTGGCCAGGCCGGCCATCTGGCTGCGGAGGTCACCCCAGGGGCGGCTCCAGGCAGTCAGGAGGACGCAGGCCCCAAGGCTGGAGGGGGCACCGGGGGCCCCGGCAGGGTCCGGCAGGGTCCGCGCCTGCCGCTGCCCTCCTGGCCTGGTGAGGGGCGGCCCCGCTGTCCGGGGGCAGGAGGGCACCTGGCGCCTGTCCTCTGCGAGGCCTGCAGCGGTCACCTGCGCTCCACAAGCGGTGACGAGAGTGGGGGGGCCCGAGGCAGGGGCGTGAGTGGTGGTGGGCGCGCCAGCAGCCGGCAGCGCCGGGCCACAGCGCTCGTGTCCGTCTGCTGGGTGTCTGGGCCCCGCCGCCTGCCTGTCCCTGCTCTGGGCACTGGTGGCACAGCCTGCCCACCGGTGTCGGCGAGTGGGAGCCAGCGCCTCCCCCAGACTCCCTGGGTCTGGAGCCCTGCGCGGCCCCGCCCAGGCCGGCAGCCGACTGGGTGGGCGGGGACGGAGGAAGCCGTGGGCCCCGGAGCGGCGGTGACCGTGGGCGCCCGCCCGTGCAGGGTCCAGCTCCCGTGCCCTAGATGGACAGCGCATGTGGGGGCGACCACGGACGCCACAGAGGCCAGCTGGACACAGCAGGAAGCGCCGCCTGGCTGAGGTGACCCCGCAAAAGACCAAGCCCCGCTGAGGGCCCTGCAGGTGCCCTGGGGCCCTGCGGGGGGCGCCTCCCGGTGCTGCGGCTGGCTCCCCGGAACCCTGAGCCTGGGCTCCTGCCCGGCGCAGCCCAGTGTCCCCGAGAGTGGTTCCCAGGGGCCACCCGACAGCCACCTGCCCGCCCACTGGGGCCTTGGGCCATGCTGCCCTCGGCCGAGGGCCAGGCTGCGCCCTGCAGGCACCCACACGCCCCACGTGCACCCCTCTGTGGGGGCTGGGGCGAGCGGTGGGGCGGCTCCTGCACTTGGCCTGTCTCCGCTGGCCGAATGTGTCTCCACATTCAGGGCCTGGGGTGGGGAGCGAGGGGTTTCGGAGTATCGCCCAAGCCTGACAGCCCCTCTTGCCAGCCCTGAGAGTGGCCCCGATTTCAGCCCCTGCTTCATTTTCATTTCCGTTATCTGCCCGCAGCTGTTGGGGTGCCCAGCGCTGAGCTGGCGTGGGCGGGGCGGCGGCGGGGGCTCCAGGAAGCCGCGTTGCTGGGGCAGGCGCCAGGCCCGCCTGCAGGGTGCCCGGACAGTGGGCGCAAGGGGCAGGCTGGGCCGGACCAGCAGGGTCACCCCCCCACAGCAGGTCACAGGGCCCGGTCGGGTGCCCTGTTCTGCCCGGGCCTGGGGCCCTCCCGCGCCCCAGCCCTCGGGGGCAGGTCGGCATTGTAGGTGAGCCCCAGGGCTCGGAGACACCTCGGACACACAGTGGCATGAGCTGTTCTCTCGCACGGGGTCGCCTGGGTGTGGGCCTGCCACCGTCCCCCCGGGCCCAGGTCACCCCAGAGGCCACGGGCGCCTGGCTGTCGCAGCAGCCCGGCACCCCGCTCTGGAGTCCCTACTCCGGGCATCCTGGACACAGCACTGGCCCCACTTCATGCCCAGAGAGGCTGGCCGCGGCGCCCCAGTCTTCCTGCTGGGTGGGCGAGCTGCGTTCCTGCCCAGAGTCTGGTGGACGGGCGGCCATGGGGGTTCCGCTCTGCCTGGGCCCCCGAGCCACTGGGGCTCCCGCAGACCCATGGCTCTGTGCAGAGACTTCTGGTCCGCCAGGGCCCTCGGGGGTTCCTATCTTCTGCCATGCAAATGAGGAGTGTGGACTGAGAGAGGCACTGACCAGTGCAGGGTCTCTCTGGTCATCTGGGCAGTGGTGCCCTGTAGCCAGGGTACTGGGTGTTGTCCGCTCATGTCAGCCTGGGCCTGCCGACTCCAGGGCCGGAGTGGAGCAGGCTCTGCGTGCCTCCTGCCCGACTGAGTGCCGGTCACCTTGGTCAGCACACAGGACTGACAAGCGGCCCACAGGAGGGGTCCACACCTGAGGGCCCTGGGGCCCGCCCACCTGGGCTTCGCTGCCAAGAGGTGCCCACAGCCCAGCCCACCCCGGGCCCGGGCCCGGCCCCTCCCCCAGCTCACCACGGCCCTGTCACCTCCTCTTGCAAACCACTTCCCAGTGGGGCCCAAAATAGCTGTTTCTAGAAGCGCTGGCAGTGACTCACGTCTCAGCCGCGTCTCTCCCACCCACGCCCGGCCTATTTCTGGCCAGTGTGGTTGGGTGCTCGTGGCATGCGAAACCAGCCTCGGCGTCCCCTCCTGGCCGAGGCCTGAGGCCTGGTGGCTCGGCCTGAGGGCGAGCGCCTCGTCCAGCACGCGCCCTTGTGGGGTCCTGGCACGCCTGAAGCAGGCGAAGGGCGAGGCGGTGGGCGGAGCTCCGACCCGCAGCCGTCCCCTCCTGCAGGCCTCAGGTCATGGAGCCAGCCCCAGGCCGAGCTAGCTGCCCTGCCCGCGGGATCCTGGTGCTGAGGCTGCCGGGAGGGGCCGGGCACGCGCATGCCTGAGCCGTGGAGGGAGGCGGGCCGGGTGGTGAACACGCGGCACAACGTGCTGCATGGCCAGTGACACTTCCACAGCAGGGCGGGACACGGCTTAGCCGCCACGACAGTGCTCACACTCAGGTTGCAGGTGGGAACTGGGCCTCCAGCCTGGCTGCGCCCCACACTCCAGCCCCAGGGACCCCACCACTCTGCCAGCCCCCGGGCAGCTTGGGGCCTCTGGCCAAGCTGCAGCGACAGCATGGTGCCCGACAGCGCACAGGGCCCCAGGGCGTGGTGCAGGACACACCCCGTGGCACCACCAGCCACTGGTGAAGGCCACAGACGGGAGCCCGCCAGGGTGGGGGCAGCCTGTGAGCTGGGCAGACTCCGCCGCGCCAGCACCGCCTCCTCAGCCGTCCGGTTGACAGCCACAGTGAGACGTGGAAGGCCACAGTGGGCCTGACCCCCGGGCTGGTCCTGCAGTGGGCTCTTACCGGGTCTGTGTGGGCGCTGCCAGCCGCCACTGCACTTGGGGGTGGCCTGGGGACCCCCCAGGGGTGCCCAGGTGGGTCGCAGGCAGTGGCTCTGGCTGGGGCGGAGGGGGGGGGACTCCCCAGGGAGCGGGAGAGCTCGGTTATTTAAAGATTTTATTCCTGCATACAGATTGGGGTGCGGGCCAGAGGTGCAGGGGCGGTGAGTCTTCACCAGAATCAGTAGGGAGCAGAACAGGACGAAGGACGAAGACGCTGCTGAGGGAGCAGCGGGGACACAGGAGAGGTCTGGGCGCCTTGTGGGTCACCCCCCCCTTGGAACTTGCGCTTAACCCGCTGCGCCGCCAGGGGGCGCCATGCCCGGGTCTTACACGGAAACGAGCCGGGCGCGAGCTCACTGCGCGGTGACAGTGACAGCCGGACGCTCTACCGCGGACGTGACTGACATGTTCGGGAAAGCGCGTCTCCCCGGCAGAGGAGCCGCCGGAAGGACC